GGCTGTGCAAGTGTATCACAGCACATGCCTGGCGGTCAGGGGACAGCTTTTATCCACTGAGCCAGCTCATCAGCCCTTAGTTTTGGGGGACAGGGTCTCTCACTAAACCTGGAGCTCACAGACTGGCTAGACTCGCTGGCCAGGGAGACCCCCCACACACACCAAGATTCGCCCTTGCCTCCCTCCACACACTGTAGTTACAGGCACATCACCTCACCTGGCTGCTTCCAGGAGCTCTGGGAGCCGGAGCTCAGGTCCTCAGGCTTGAGCAGCAAATGCTTTACTCACTGGGCCGTCTCTGCGGGGTGGGGGTGGGGGCCCCAGAGTTCCCCATCTTTCCCCAGGATCCCAACGCTACCTCCCCCCTCCTCTCTGTGCCTGGGCTGGCCCCTCCAGCTGATCACCACTCCACAGCCCTGGCACAAAAGTCTGCCTAGGCTCCCTGCTTCCCCAAGGAGACCATCCAGAAGAAAGATGGTACCTTCAGATCAAACTTCCCCAGCATCCCCTTGTGGTGCTCAACATGTCCCCTCTGGGCCTTTGTACAGACACATGAGCCATGCTGCTGCTGGCTAGCACATTCACTCTTGAGGATGCTCAGAGCAGTACCTGCCTTCGAGTGCTGCCTCTAAGCAAGCTGAGGCCTCACAAGGCTGACCACACCCCAGGTGCTCTCAGCATGACCCCAGCAAAAAGCCTCTCCACAGTGGTCTCTCTCTGGGGAAGCTTCTGGAAAGCCCTGCTCGGTCAAGGGCTCTGGCAATTGGCTCGGGGGAAGATGGACTGGATGAGGGATGGGGCGGTCTCCAGGGAAATGGGATTCTGGGGATTTCTCATCCTCCTCAAAGAAAAGAACAAATTATGCAAATTCTTGGGTCCAGGCCCCTGGCCACCTCCTCAGCCTCTCCCCGGGCTCCTGGGAGGGTGTTGGGCTCAGCAGAAAGTGCCCCAGGCTCTCCAGCAGCCGTTTCCTGATTACAGGCGAAACTGAGGCTCAGAGCTGGGGTGAATCACTGTGGCCGCCAGCCAGGGCACGCTGGGTGTCAGGTGGGGCGAGCCGGGTGCTGACGAGAGATCCTGGCCTTCCTCCCTTCTGCCATCTCGGTGCTGCCGCCATCACAGCAAGTCTCACCGACAGGATCCAGCTCTGGGTAAGGAAGAGTTGGAGCTGTCTCTCTCACGGTCCCACGTCCCCTACCCCAGGTCGAAACCCACGTGTCCCCAAGGAACCTTCAGTCTAAGTGGTTCACAAACCACCTGCCCATGTCTTGTGTAGGCAGAAGCAGCCATCGCTGGGTTCAAAGGCCTTAAAGGGCAAAGGAGTTAACAGCAACTTCTAGGGAAACTTCAAACCGAGGGCCCATGTCCAGGCTCGAACCCCAAACACACTATTCACAGTCCGTGGGGCAAAGACCTTCTACATGTTTCTTAGCTTCTGTGGGCCTCAGTTTCCTGCCCAGTAAATGGGAGGAAACAAGTGCCCACAGCATCAGGGGGTTGTCAAGAGGGAGGCGGGGTGCACTGGATAAAAGACTGCTTTAGAAAGAGCATATTTGGGGGCTGGAGAGATGGCTCAGGGGTGAAGAGCACTGGCTGCTCCTCCAGAGGTCCTGAGTCCAACTCCCAGCAATCACATGGTGGCTCACAGCCACCTATGAGATCTGGTGCCCTCTTCTGGCGTGCAGGTGTACATGCAGATAGAACACTCATCTACATAAAATAAATACTAAAAGAAGGAAAGAAAGAAAAGAGGGTATTCGCCGGCCAGCAAAGACTGCTCAGTTGATAAAGTGTTTGCTTCGAGAACTTGAGGTCCAGGGCTTAGCTCTCCATTGCCTATGTCCTCTTTCTTTCTTTCTTTCTTTCTTTCTTTCTTTCTTTCTTTCTTTCTTTTTTAATTTTTAATTATTTTCTGTTTACTTGTTTTGTTTTTTTTAAGACATGGTTTCTCTGTGTAGCCCTAGCTGTGCTGGACTCGCTTTGTAGACCAGGCTGGCCTCGAACTCACAGAGATCTGCCTGCCACTGTTGTAACCTTGCCTGTCCTGGAACTTGCTCTACTGACCAGGCTGGTCTTGATCTGCCTCTGCCTCCTAGTGCTGGGATTTGCAGGCATTTGCCACCACCACGGCCCAGCAGACAACACCAGTTCCTATAGTCACGGAGCTGTAGAGATGAAGGCAGGGGTCTCCTGGTGCCCACTAGTCTAACCCGGGTGTGGGGTGTGGTGACACACGCCTTTAATTCCAGGGCTCAGAAGGCAGAGGCAGGTGGAGCTCAGGTCTCAGTGAATTCAAGGCTAGCCTGGTCTACACAGAGGGGCCCTATCTCAAAAAAAAAAAATAGAAGAACGAGCATGTGCACACCCAATAGGTACATACGTAAGTAAATAAATAGATAAAACAAGATACTTTAAAAAAATGATCTCACAAGGAGATGTGTCAGAGAAGAATTGTGTCCCACACTTGTAAGACAGAGCTGCCTTGTGGCCTCTGTGTGTCCCCAAGCTGTCCGTCAGAGGAGGGGGCAGTGCCTGTGTGTGTGTGTGTGTGTGTGTGCGCGTGCGCGCTTGCGTGAGTGCGCGTTTTCTGGAGACTCCTTGGCTCTGTAAGCCTGGGAAACCCCACCGAGCGTCATGTCTCTGCTGGAGGCTTCTTCTGGTTAATCACCTCCCACCCACCTGTTAGCATGTCTCTGGACCAGAACCAACTTTTCCTTCCCTGAAAATAACACTCGCAAACCAGAACGGGGCATGGCGCAAGCACTGGACAAGCCGGTGCTAAACGGTTAGTTAATTGGGCCTCGGAGGTGATTACTTTCCACTCCATCTTACTGGGGTGGGGTGCAGTGGGGAAGGGGGACACTGAAGCCACCAAGGCTAACGACTTTCCCAGAGTCACACAGCCTCGGACGGCATGTTGGCAGGGCCGGATATCCCTTCAGCCTCAGCACAGCCTTTACAAACAGTCCTGGCAGCCCTCAGGGCATAGCTGGCCTAGGGAGGCTGCGGCTCATCCCAGGGCAAGTTCCAGGTTAAAGGCCCCTCTGTCACCACAGAGTAACCCCCTACACACACTGTGTCCCTGACCTTTCCTTTATCAGGCTCCATGCTGCATTCCTCAGGGACCAAAGGGGCGTTCTACTGCATGGGAAGTTCAACTCAGAGGACTTCAACCCCCTTACTGCCCTACCCCCACCCCCAACCTCTTTTCCTTCTCCTGGGCCTGTCTCCCAATCCCATCACACTGCTAAATTTCTCTAGAAATGTCCCACCTTTGGCCAAGCTGTTTCCTAGACTACATTTCAGGAATCCTTGGTGGGAAGCCTCTGCCTCTTGCGAGAAGCCCTCTGTGATTGCCTCCTGCTGTCATATTGGCTCCCTCCAGCTGCCTCAAAGGCCTACAGAGTGTGCCCTGAGGGCTGGTCTCTGCTGCTCTGAGCCAGGGGGCTGTGGAGAAGAACAGAAACAAATGAAGGGGGCACTGAATTCTTTCCAGTTAGGTGAGTGGTAAGACAAATCTCCTGCTGTCACGGCTGGCCTTTTCCCACCAGGCCATGACCTTCAGGTCCTGGATCAATACCTGTTGGGTAACCACACGGAGAGCTGGCTGGCGTGACTACAGGGGAGCTGAGCTGTACCCTGTACCCTGCTGTCTGTCACCCCTGGGCCCTGGGGCTTTGCTATGAAACACGTCTAGCTGCTGTCTCCCGAGGGTCCTGAGCCTTAGAGGCATTCCCATCCTCCAGGATGTCTCAGCGAAGGTGAGGGAGTCTGAGCTAGCCAGGATCCGGCCTTGGCCCATACTGAGGATAGGGGCCCAGGTCCCTAATCCCTGGGGACCTATTGCTGGCCCAGCCTCTACTGAGTCTGTGGTTCCTGTAGGTAGAACGGATCTGTCCTTCTTCCAGGCTCCTCAGCTCTCCCCTAAAGAAGCTGTGGGGGTCCAGGTGGAAAGAGGGTACCCGAAAGGGCCCTGCCTATAGGCCTGAGGCCCCGGATGTTAGGACGTTGCCCCGAATGCTTAGATAACTCAACTCCTCCAGCCAGCCCTCATTCCAAAGGCTCCTCACTTCCTATCCCATATAGGGCAGGTCTGAGCCCAGCTGGCTGATGTCCTGGAGGCCCCTCCCAGGCAGCCAGAGCAGAGGGGCTGCCCCCAGGCCTGTCCCAAGCACCACCCCTGAGGGTCCTTGGGATTCTTGTAAACAGGAAGCGCCTGCCCCCCCTTCACAGACAGCTCCGTGTTGTGTGGACACTGGGCTCTGAAGGCCCAGGACTCTTGACCTCTCCGGCTGTGTTTCCTGTTAGCTGGGCTAGAGGAGAGAGGGAGATTGAAATGGTCTGGAGGGGGATGGGGGAAAGAGAGAGAGAGAGAGAGAGGGTGACAGCTGAGGAGAGCCAGACCCTGAAAGATCCAGAGTAGTCCTGCGCATAGTAGGTACTCAGTAAAGCTTGGTAAGGAGCCAACCAGCTGGCGCCCACGTTTCCTCATGAAAGTGCAGTGCCACTGAAGAGATGGACGGTGGGCCACTCTGGCCTGGCAGCCCTGGTGGCCAGCCCCAAGGCTCCACATTCCCCCACCACCGCCACCATTGTCCCTGTCTGGCCCCGCCCCAGCTCTGGCTGCCTGAGCCAGGCCACTGTCTCAAGGCCCTTTATTTTTAAAATCCCTGTGGTGTTCCTGCCTGAGCCTAAGGAGCAATGCCAGCCACAGCGAGCCTGTGGCCTGGGCTTGGGCCCAGAGGCACCGGGCGGGGCATCCGGCCACCCTGCAGCTGCTGGGCAATTCTGGGAGGGCTTCGAGGCCAGCTGGCCTGCTGAGCTGCTGAGGAAGTCCTGGAATGCCCAGACTGCAGGCCCGAGGCACTGGCCCCTGTCCTTTAGTGGAGGCAGAGGGGCCTCCTGACAGGGTAGCAACTGGACTGTGCATAAAATCCAGGGGCCTCAAAATGAGTCCCTGTCTCCCCCACATCCAACCCAACAAACTGGGACGCAGCATCCAGTGGGAGAAGAAAGAGGGTACATGTTGGTCCTGTGCGGGAGATGGCAGCGAGGCACACGCTCTCTGCTGGGGAGCCCAGGGGCCTGCAGAGGAGGTGGTGGAAAGAGACTCAGATTTAGAATCCAAGAGGCCAGCCTGGTGGGAGCTCCATCTTCTCCCAGCTGTTTGGCGAGGGGAACCACGGAGCCTCTCTGGAACTTCGGCTGCCCCCTGTAATGGGAGATAATAAAAGGCATCAGGCATCGTGGGAAGCTTGGGACGATGCAGGAGGAAGATAGTCACAGTGTCTTCCCTCACGGAGCTGACGGAGCTGGCGGGGAGATGGTCAGGGTATGGTAGTCCCGGTATAGAGCAGGGGCATAAGTGAACAGTTGCCGTTGGGCTATGGAGGGGGCCGGAGGAAGTCCATTGAGGTCCGAGGTCTCACAGGGATCTGAAGGAGCGGATGGCCTTTACACTGTGTGGGAAGAGCACTGGAGTGAGAGGGAATGGCAGGTGCAAAGGCCCCGAGGCAGAGGGACGTGGGTGTGGCCTAAGCAAAGAAGACCAAAGGTCTCTGACTCCTTCAGGGGCTGCAGACCCCTGAGGGGTTTGTCATGAGAGGAAGCCGGAGCGGGTCAAGTGTTAGAGAGACTGACTGTGTACACGCTCTAGGCTGGCCCCGTGTCCCTTCTTCCTCACTCACTGCGTAAGGAAGGCCAGGCCAGTGTGTGATGTTCCCTTGATCGACGACGCGGGGTGCTCACTCTGGACCAACTTGTTCTTGCCTTTGATCCTCCCAGAAGTGTGAAGTAAGGCAAGGAGGGCTTATGACCATATGTTCATTCGATAAGTAGGGAAACTGAGGCAGGAAGGGCAGAACGATGACCCGGATCACCTCCTCCCCCAGACTAACCCATTCACCCTAGGCCGACCCCACTTCTCCTGAGGTAGCCCCTTGTGTACCCAGCCTTGGCTCCCTGAAAAGCATTTCCCGCCTCATCCCACCCTTCACCCCGAGTCTCTACAAACCCCTTTGCTCCTCCCCAGCACACAGGCTCCACCAGGAGGTGCCAGCCACTTTCCACCACCCCCACTTCACCACCCCCCCAGGCTCTGGCAGGCAAAGAATGTGGCCTGAGCCTCCCTCGGGGGCTCAGGCCAGCAAGGCTTGGCAGGAGACCTCGCTGAGTCAACACAAGGCTGGCTGGAGCTGTACTGCCCACCAAGGCTGCATTAGAGACCCAGAAGAAAGGATTGCCTGCTACACACACACACACACACACACACACACACACACACACACACACTCCTCCCTTCCTCACAAGACTCCCTGCTCTGGGCCCCAGTCAACACGGTTAACCCTTAAGGGCCTGCGGACAAGCAACTTGTCCATTCCCCAGCACAGAGGTGCCGTGGGACCTCAGGCAACCACTCTGGGCCGATTTCCGGTTCTCCTCACCTGTGAGACACCCACCCTTGTGGAGTCTGTGTGATTTCACAAAGGGTTCTCCACACATAAAACTGTCAAAGTTGCGCGTCCTCCTCTGCCAGCTGGGAGTGTGAATTCCTGAGTTCAAAGGCAATGTCTTCGCCCTGTTGCATTCTCCTGACCTGGTGCCTAATGAGTCTGTTGGGGTGTGACACGAAGTCCATGACAAAACCTTAAGCCCGGGTGGGCTGTGGTCACCATGACGCACACCCCAGCCTGAGCTTGTAAAACGGCTTCTTTGATGGTAGGCATTATTCTTCCCATTTTACAGACAGACAAACTGAGACGAGGGAGGGTAAGAAGCTTGCCCAGGAGTCCCAGCTAAGACTGGCTGGAGCCAGGCCTTCTGACACTTGAAAGAGGGAACTCCAGGGCAATTGGGATGGAGGGAGGGACCGTGAGCGGAAGATAGAGGGGTTGAATTCTGCTTTTCAGGAAGACATCTTGCCTGCTGGAGTTCACTTTCTCAGGAAAGTGGTGAGCTCTCTAGTGTCCAAAGGATGTATACGACAGCCAAGCCTCAGCCCTTCCTGCCCTAGGAGGATGTGGGTACATGTGGGACTCTTTCTGACACCCGAGAATCAGCAAAAGGAGTGATGACTGGGTGCCCTTTTAGGGCCTCTCACGTGCTGTGAGAGGACACAGACCCATTTCCCAGAGTGATGTCCACCCTGCCCAGTGATGTGAAGCTGAGGAGGAAGTGGCTCCGTCCCCTCGGCCCTGTGTCCTCACTGGACAATGGGCTGTAAGGATGAGAAAGAATTCAGCCAACCCGCCAGCTCCCAGCACACAGCAGCAGGGTCCAGCCCCTGACCTTCTTCCTCCCATCACCAGCCTCGCAGAGGGAGCAGGAAGCCAGGAGCCAGCAAGCCTGGTAGGGGTGGGGATGGCGCGGGGACGGAGCGGGCAGGGGTGTCACTGGCTGAACCAGGGGCAGCATCCAGAGTGCAAGAGTGCCACTGGGTAAGAGTGCCAACCCCATGGGCAAGAGCCCACAGGGAGGAGGAGGAAGAGGAGGGAGGCTCTCCTACATACTTGCTCATCTTGGGGCCAGGCTGGAGGGGCCATGCTGGTGATGATTGGGGGCTCAGGCCTGGCCCACAGCCCGAAGGCCTATCTCTCCAGCCAGGCTGGACCAGAGAGAATAGGCTATTGTTTCTTCTACTCTTAACGTGTTTCCTGTCCCCCCCCCTGCCCCTCCCCTCTCCCTCACCCCCCTCAAGTAAAGAACAAAGGTCTCCTGGATTTGGACCCCTCCCCACCCTTCCATCCCGGGGCTGTCCAGCTTGGAAGAATTCAGTCCCATCACCCAGGGGACAATGGGTCACCTGGCCCTGACCCTTTCTAATGTCCTCTCCATCCTCTGCAATGGTTAGGCGCCTCAGACTCCTCCCACCCCATCCCATGTTCCCCTGTGTCCGTCCGTCTATCAGTCCTCCTCAGGGTGGGGTCGAGGAACCAGCCCCACATCCTTCCTCAGACCCCTCCCCCACCCCACACCGCCCAATGTCTTGTTCTTCTGGAGGACAGCCAGTGAGGTGTGAGGGGGGGAGTTTTTCCCCACCCCCCCATTTCCCTGTGGACCAGGGAGTTAGGAACCCAGAGCCCAGAAGGGTCCTCAGGAGAAAATTCATCCAAGCTCTCGCCCTTTTCCCAGAGCCTGGAATTCCAGAGGCGTTTCCGGCTCCACAGCTGTCTCTTGAGCTATGTTCCGTGGACCTCAAGCCCCACACGCCATGAAACCCTCGGGATTAAACTCCAGTCTTGGCCCTGTGGCCCTGTGGCTCTTAAGAACCCCTTCACGCCCAGGCTTGAGAAGTAGCTAGGTCTGTCAAACTGACACTCATCTGTGGTCACCAGGCCCTCAGGCCAAGCCCAATGCTGAGGTCTCAGTCCTCTTCAGATAAGGCTTCACCGCCATGGCCACGTGCATGCATGCATGCCACACTTCCAAATGCTGTGCTCCACCTGGCTTTCAAGCCTTCTAGTTACACAGCCTCCTGCAAATTTATTCATAGAGCCTCTTCCTCCTCCAGGAAGCCTTCCTAGAATGATGACAGCCCCCTGTGACCTTACCACTGGGCTGCTTCTGGCCTACAGTCTTCTCTCAACATGCCTCTGGACCTCCATCCCCCATGGCAAGGCAGATAAGCAGCCCGGCTTCTACCTGGCCAGGTCATGAAGCGTCCTTGGGTGTGCCCAAGCTCATCCCCATCCCCCCCAGCTCAAATGCCACCTTCTCCAAGAGGCCTCCCTGTCAGTGTTGTGAGATTCCTGATTCCTTTGAGCTTTAACCTCTTGTTTTCCCTACCAGAAAGTGGCCACTGCCCAAGTTTCCCCTACAGTCCCCACAAGTCCTCGCCCAGGGCTGCTCCCAGCAGCTCTTCCCTTGGTACATGTGGGCTGAATTCCACCAATGGGGAAAGAAAATGGCAACCACAGCCACCCCTTCCTGGCCACGACCAGCTGTGACATCTGTAACTTGTCACAGACTGTACAGCTGAGGCCCTGGGAAAGGGTCTGTGAGCTGAAGGTCACACTGCCCGTGGCGGGCAATGGGGCAAGTTGAACCACACTTTGCCTGACTTAGAGATGTATTCAGAGCCGAGTGTGGTGACACACACTTTTAATCCCAGAGGCAGAGGCAGGTGGATCACTGGTGAGTTGGAGGCCAGCCTTGTCTGTATAGTAAGGCCAGGACAGCCAGGGCTACAGAGAGAAACCGTGTCTCAGAAAAACAAAAACAAAACGAAAGTGTTGGGGGACAGGGGCGTGGTTCCCAGCACCACATGGAGGCTTACAACCAGCTACAATTCCAGTTCCAGGGGATCCAGCACCCTATGGGCTCAGCAGGCACCAGACACACACATGATGCACACATGTACATGGAGGCAAAACACATACACATAAAATTAAAAATTTTTTTAAAGCAGCTTAAGAAAAGAAATTAGTCCTGGGGCTGGACCTAGTAGCATATGCCTTTAAATCCCAGCACTTGTGAGTTCAAGGCTAACCTAGTCTACATAGTGAGTTCCAGGTCAGCCAACACTGTGTAGTGAGACCTTGTCCCTTTGTGTGTGTGTGTGTGTATGTGTGTGTGTGTCTGTCTTGGGTTTTTATAAGGGAGAGCTTGGGGTGCAGGCACCCCCATGGCCCAATGGCAATATCCCCTAGGTGTAAGGACAACTCACAGGACAAAACTCTTGGGGACCCCAATACTGTCCCCTCCCCCTGAGGTATCCATGTGTGTCTGAGCTCCTGCTGGAGTCTAGTCTCTGAGAAGAAGGCGCCTGTCTTCTTGAGGTTGGGTCCAGGAGAAGGGATCTTTACTTGTGATAACCCTGACCATTCCCTGAACGTGCCAGGAGCACACACAAGTGGGCATCTCCCTGAGCGCTCTCTGCCAAATAGATACCCACATGGAGGCCAGACCGTAGGCAGGCTAGCTTGAGAGATGGTCTGTGGAAGGCCCCAGAGTGGCCCATCAGTGGGCGTGGTAGTGGTGTGTGTGTGTGTGTGTGTGTGTGTGTGTGTGTGTGTGTGTGTGT